TTCCAGGTGTGATAGCACACAAGTTGGAGACCAGCCTAGACAATTTAGCAAAACCCTGTCTCAAAGTAAAATAAAAAGGGCTAGGGGGTTGGGGATATAGTTCAGTTGATAGAGTGYTTGCCTTGCATGCATAAGGCTCTGTGTTCAAATCCCAGCACCACAAGAAAAAAAAAAAAAAGGAAACTTCAAGTAAAAGGATGCAGGGAGAATATCAAGAGGTTATATTTTTCCTGCCAAAAAAATAAGTGCCCAGTAAGAATGATGGCCTTTGAGAGAAATCCTATTGTTGACTCACTTATGTGACTTACTTCTAACCAATGAACATTATATGTGTTACCAATAATAACAATGGGGAAAAACACAAATTTTTAAAGTATGGGAAATCTCATCCTACCGAAAAATTCTAATTTATAAGCCAATGCAGGACCAGCAATTGAAAAGCAAAGGAGTACAAAAACAAACAATTCAGGTTTCAGAGACTGAAAACAAAGATTACAGGAAAGAGCCTAAACTTGTGCAGCCTGTTTGCTTATTGTCTGAACAAATGTTGGGAAGTCATAAGAGCTCAATGAACAGAAGTAGAGGTGGTAAGATTATGGCTGATTAGTTTCCTTCATTTCTCTATTTTCCTTTTTTTTTTTTTTTTGCCTAATATGCCACTTTTTGATTATAATTGTGAAAAAAAGGACTTTTTAAAAATGACTTCTTTCTCCAACTGTGTACCCATATCTGCATATGGCAACTGAGCACACCAATCTTGTCCTCTTGTRTTCAAGCACAAAGATACTGAATGCAAAAATTAGCTAGTCCCACCGGATTTCAAGATGTGCTAATCCTCAATAATTCCTTAGTTCTTAACAAAGAAATGTTTTTATTAATTTTATTTCCTTTTTTTAAAAAGAGAGAGTGAGAGAGGAGAGAGGGAGAGAGAGAGAATTTTTAATATTTATTTTTTAGTTCTCGGCGGACACAACATCTTTGTTGGTATGTGGTGCTGAGRATCGAACCCGGGCYGCACGMATGCCAGGCGAGCGCGCTACCGCTTGAGCCACATCCCCAGCCCTATTAATTTTATTTCTATCAAGCAAGATGGACTAGTTTCCTCTGATATTMAATTCTACTTGAACTAAATATCAAGAGACTACATATTGAATTCAGTAAATAAAATACTCTCTGATGATGGCTGGCTTTGAATGGAAAGATTCCAATCACTTAAAATAATTTTCATAGGAAATATAAGAACATTTTATGAAAATTATTTCAGGAGCTGGGCACGGTGGCACACACCTGTAATCTCAACAGCTCAGCCCTAAGAAACTCAATGAGACGCTATCTCTAAATAAAATATAAAGACAGCCTAGGGATTTGGCTCAGTGGCTCAGCACCCCTGGATTCAATTCCTGGTACAAAAGAAAAAAAAATCAGGAATTTAAAAAAAGTTGTGATAATAAAATTCACTTTATAAGAATGACTATAACATTGCCCTTTAAATACATTGTGCCCTAGGGTTTATTTATAAAGGTAACATACATGACAACCATAATATGAAAGGTCAAGGTGGGGGTTGGGTAAATGGACCAATGTTTCAAGGTCTCAGAAATAGACTGAAAATTTAAAGTTATTTATTGTAATATTGAAAGGGTAAAGTTTCTAAGCTGGAAAGCTTGAATGTAAAAGATTAGGTATTATTAARTTCCTCTGTTACACCCAGATTCCTGAGATAGTTAAGACAACACCCTACTGGCCATTTAGCCTAGGGCCCTGTGCAGTTTGTCACAGGGCCCGAACCAATCAGTTTGAATGTGTAACCCGCTTACGAATCACCCCCGCCCAACCTGTTCCCGCCAATGAATGTGCCAATCACGTCTCAGAGTTGTTGTTCAATTTTCCTGCGCCTCATGATGATTTGTTCTGATGTATGCAAAGCCCACCACTCTCTCCAGAAAGTGTACTTAAGCTCTGCTTGACCTCAGCTCGGGGCTCTGGGCTGCTCTCCCTTCTTGAGTAAGAACGGAGCCCCAGCGCACTGGAATGGATCCCTAATAAATCCCCTTTTGCCAATTGCATGGAGTAAGTCTCTTGGGTGGTCTCTCCCTCCGACGTTTCGCCGTACCTTTACAATATCTAGAGCCACCATAAAAATACAATGCAGTGAGGTATAATTAGAAAGTCAACAGGTAAATTAACATSAGCTGGGCATGCCTGTAATCCAGCTACTCAGGAGGCTGTGGCAGGAGGATGATAGGTTTGAGGCTAGCTTTGGGAATTTAATGAAACTGTCTCAAAATAAAAATAATAAAAAAAGGCTTAGGGGTGTAGCTCAGTGGTAGAGCACTTGCTTATTATAATGTACACAGCTCTGGGTTCAATCCTGAGTATCACAAAAAATTTATATTAAGGTATAAAAAATATTCAAATAATTTTAGAGAAGTCAGGAAAGTAACTCTACCATTTTGCTATTTGTTTCTATATATACCTTCTTTTCTTTATTTGCCTGTTCTTAATCTGTGTTAGCAACTAAGCATAAATGGTATAAATGTCTTGTATTAAAAAGAGAACAGAGATTGTCAGATAGGATTTAAAAGGGAAACTTTGGCACATGATGGTTAGAAGAGAAGTGCTTTAACCATGACATGGATRGTTTGAAATTAAATGGATAGAAAACCTATATTACCACCTGAAGAAAAGCCATAAGAAGACTGGACTGGCTATGTAAATATATTTTTAAAAATATTCTTCAAACAAAGACGTTTGCCAGAGATAAAGAAGCACATTTTCTAATAGCAAAATGATCTTTCATCAGGAAATCATGACACTCATAAAGATATACGTGAAATATCACAACTTCAAAATTTGATCAAAAATCAAAATTGATTGAATTAAAGCTGCAAAAGACAATTTCACCACCACAGGTAAAGATTTTAACACCCTGGTCAGATTGATTGAACAACTAGGCAAAAAGAACTAAAAAAAAAAAAAAATCCCTCTAGACACAGATCTTAGTCTATGCCTTAGTTGTCAAGAAAAATTCTCATGAAGGAAGAAGAATACTATGTCTTTTTAACCCCACTGATGATCCTCAAATCATTKAAAGTTATAAAAGTGAATAGACATGGAAAACTTCATCTGATTTCTCATTTCTCTACCTGCTCTGCATTGAAAAATTTTTTTTTTTCTGTACTGGGTCTTGAACCCCAGGCACTCCACCACTGAGCTACATCCCTAGCCCTTTTAGTTTTGGTTTTGAGACAGGGCCTTGCTAAATTGCTGCAATCCTCCTACCTCAGCCTCTTAATTCACTGGGATTACAAGCATGTGCCATTGCACCTGGCATTAGGTTTTTTTGTAACTTAATTTCTCCAGCTTCTCCAAGTGTCCAGGCAGCATCTTCTGGTCCTACCCTATGCTAATTCCTGTTCCATTCTAATCTCTTTACATAACATCACAAATCATTTAATTTTCAGTTATGATGCTTCGTTCTATTTTGCTCCTGCACCACACAGGGCTACAAATCTTAATAGCAGTATTAACCAGCAAGATGGCTTCTTTATTGTGGTGTTGCACTGCTAATGGATCGAAATGATGGTAAAAGAGGCAGTTCACTTTCATGTTTCTTCATCTTTCTTCAAAGGAAATACATAAAAACAAAACAGGAAAAAAATTGACAGATAAAATTAATAATAAGTTTAGACCATAAGCCTGGTCTAAAAAAAAAAAAAAGCCATCAGAGAGATTTTCATTTCCCTTCTCAAGTTCTCTGCTTCTGCTAAGAGGCACAGACGGACTCTTTTACAAAGAGAAGATTAAAGCACAGATTTAGCCTGTGCGGCTCCATGTAGGAGCTGCTTCTTCCTCGGAAGTGGATGAGAGAACAGGCCTGCGGCTCTCTGCCCAATTCCCAGCTCTCATACTTTGGAGCTGTGAGCTTTGGTTATGTCAGATAACCTCTGGAGCTTGTTATCTTGCTTCTAAGGAGGGATAGTGAGGGCAGACTGCCCCTCCTATTCCACAGCGTTGCTGCAACACACTAAATTGGATTTTTGTGAACACACTTCATAAAAGTGTGAGGCATAATACAAATATTAGGCAACAGCACTGGTTTTCTGTTTCATCAGAYCCCACTTAATTAGAAGAGGTGAAAGCTCTATTATCACTCTCTTAAGTGTTTCAGCTCTTTTTGACCCCCCCCCCCATCTTTAGTGTCTACTTAGTGTAATTAGTCCTCATGGCTCACATGTGCTCTGAAAAAGAATCAAAAGATGCTTTTATTTTCCTGTAAGAACAAGCCCTACCCTTTGTCTGATTTTTAATTGTGTAAGGTAAGGGCACAGTCTGAGCTCATAACATGGTATTCGTCTGATTCTGATTAGGTTTTTTTCATCCCTTCTGTACTGGAGATTGAATTCAGGGACACTTGACCACTGAGCCACATCCCCAGCCCTATTTTCTATTTTATTTAAAGACAGAGTCTCACTGAGTTGCTTAGTGCCTCAATTTTACTGAGGCTGGCTTTGAACTTGCAATCCTCCTGCCTCAGCCTTCCCAGCCGCAGAAATGACAGGCATGTGCCACCATGCCCAGCCTGATTAGGTTTTTACCTCTAGATCTCACACAAAAAGGCACATTTGCCTTCTTTTAAGTATTCTGAAGTCTGATTCAAGGTAGTTTTTTAAAATCCCCTTTTCATCCTGGGGTGAGGGAGGACTTGAACTATGTATTTGCCCACTTCGTTCGACTCCTCTCTCCTTGACTCTAGGAAATAGACTCATTCCAGTGTTCCCCTGACACTTGAACACAGTTCACACTCCATGATGCTACCTACACCTAATGCTATATATGTTCCTGAAACTCAGAAAGGAGATTCAATGGAAAAGACTTTTATGATCATGAAATAGCTTGTGAAGTGCATTCAAGTGGTGGGCTGGGTATAAGCCAGCCAGCAAACAGTACAGAATGCATCCTGCACATCACAGGATCAAAGTGTATTTTCCCAATAATACCTGAATCATCAGTAGTCCAGAAGGTTCTTGGGTCAGGCTTGGTCAGGATGTTGGCGTGACTACATGGCTCTTTCACCTTGGAAACATAAGGAGAAAAAAAAGGTGATGTGAAAATGGCGTCACCATTGCAGTGGCCTTTGGTGCTAGAACAGGGATTTGAGGCTGACACTGGGGCATCTAGCACACCTGTGCTGTGATTAGGGTGGTTTGCCTAGGACTCAGCTGACTATAGCACTGAAAGTCTAGTATCCTGGGAAATCTTTAATCCTGGGCTAACTGCAAAGGTGGATGACCCTAGCTAGGCCTGATGCAATTTCACTATCGGGGCTGATGGCTGGGCAAGCCCATGGGGGCTGGAGTTCAGCCCTCCACTTGCTCCTGCTTCCTATGCAGTACTCTGACTACACAGCTGTATGCAGAAGCCATCAATTAGCAAAGCYTGTACAAAGACACTAACTGACATTTAAAAACATGTTGGAATTCTACATAACAAATGATATTTTTAGTAAATACTGCTTGGGAAAATACATAATTGAATTCAGTAGCAGTTTAAAATGAATTCTTGTTTTATGATTCTAATAGAATCATTATATTTTTAAATAGTAGCATATGTACACATGTGATATGTGTTATTTATTCAACTTAGAGGGTTTTTTTTTAGTGTAGATCCAATTAAAAGATTCCTTATAATAAGCTCAAGAAAATGGCTGTGATGCTTTTTTTTTCTTCTTTTTGGCAACTGTATACTGCTGTGATATRTAGCTTTCAGATGTATCCTTAACCAGTGAAATATAGAACTTAATGTTAAAAGGGACTTTCCACTTATCTGGTTTTTGTAGTGCAATCATTTGATTACTGTWAAATGTCTCTAGTCTTATTAACTACTCAATGGGTAAATTATTTCCACTGCAGTAATAATCAAAGGGCTCAAGAATGCCATGAAGGACACTATTTGGTTTCACTGCATTTTCTTTCTATAGCGAGACATTATTGAAGGAAGCAGTGTGTGAATTTTCAGTCTGGCATAATCTCCTTCTCTTAAGGATTAGTATCAGAGAACATATGGAAACCAGAATCTTAAAGAGACATCTGTACTCTCATATTCACTTGATATGATATTATTCACAATAGCTAAGATGAGGAAACAARCTAAAAGTCTATTAACAGATGAATGGATAAAGAAAACACAGTGTGTGTGTGTGTGTGTGTRTATATATATATATATATATATATATATATATATATATATATATAKAKAKAKAGAGAGAGAGAGAGAGAGAGAKAGATATTATTTGGCCTTTAAAAAGAACGAAGTCCTAAGTGACAATATGAATGAATTTGGGGGACATTATACGAAGTGAAATGATAGTTACAGGAGAAAAAAATACTATACTTCCACTTACATGAGGTGTATTATATAGTCAAGCACATAGATAAAGAGAGTAGAATGGGGAGGGGTAGGGGGCTGTGAGGAGGGGCAATGGGGGTTGATATTCACTGTGCATAAAGTTTTAGTCATGCAAGATGGTTAGGTTTTAGAAACCTGCTGTACTACACTGTGCCTATARTTCTCATAACCATATTGTACAGTTAAATATTTGTGAAGAGGTCAGATCCATGTTGTGTTCTTATTGCAATTAAACAATCTGGAATTGATTACCACCCTATGTCTGTTAGTGTATCAGAAAAGCACATAAGATATTTGACACATAAATATGTAAGTGTTCTAAATATAGGAATGGAATTTCCTGGCAATTGTAATATGGTTTTCATTTATAGGAAACGTGAAGAGAAAAGAAAAAAAAATACAGTAAAAATTTCATTAAAATTTAAAATTTAAATCTCTAGTTCAGTGTTAGAACACTTGTGGAGCATGTGTAAGGGCTTAGTTTGATCCTCAGCATTGCAAAAATAAATGAAAATAAATAAATCAATCAAATCAATAAATCTCATTCCATGGCCACATTTTGAGCAGCACTGTAAAATCACCCTCATACTCCACTGAGCAGTAAAGAGTTCCTTCCAAGGAGTTACCTATTTCTCTAAAGAACCGTTGTAATTGTTGGGTAGCTCKTCACAGTTTGAATCTCATATGGATCACTGAAACTTGACTCTAGCTCACTCTTGAGTTACACACAAGAGTTGTGCTCTCTCTTTTATATAGTAATATACCTCAAATATTTGAAATCACGATTATGTCTTGCCTTAGCTTCCCCTTCCCCTAACTGGCTTTCTTCCCTTCCATAGTTCCTTATGAAATGGTTTTAAGTCTTTTCTGGCATGTCTGCTAGTCCCCTGGGAGCTTCCCAGCTAGGGCCAGATAATAATCACTGAAATGAGGTACTGATGTTGAGGTACAGCTCTCTGGGAGGACTACTTGTGTTATCTCCAGAGTGAGGAATTAAAATGTTCCTAAACACCTTTATCAATTTAACATGGCATGAGAGTAAAGAATACTATGATTTTGCCACTTTTTTTACCCTTTTTAATTACAAAAGTTCTAATTGATTTCACAACTATGCATCCATATTGGAAAACTGCCATATGCAAGTTTGCTTTCTGTGTTAAGCTTTGTAATTACCCAGGTCCTTGCAGAGTTTGTGTAAAATAAACATCATTCCTCTAGATCTCATTTACTCATGAATGATTCTTCACCGAGATTTCTTTTTTTTTTTTTTTTTTTTTTAATTCTTCTACATGTGGAAGATGCCCCTGTATAAAGCCAGGGTCATCAAAAATTTCTTCTTGTTCTTTGTGTTATTACTGTGCAAGTATAACATGCCATTCTTCATGATTCGCAAGAACCAAAGTACTCGCAGGAAATTATCTTGGCAGCTCATATAGTGTGTGTGTGTGTGTGTGTGTGTGTGTGTGTGTGTGTGTGTGTATGTGTGTGTATCCCCAGTACTGGGGATTGAACCCAGGGACACTTTACCATTGAGCTACATTCCCTGCCCATTTTATTATTTTATTCTGAGACGGATCTTTCTAAATTGCCCAGGTTGACCTTGAATTTGTAATCCTCTTGCCTTGCCCTCCTGAACAGCTGAGATTACAGGTGTGAACCACCATGCCTGCTTCATACAGTATAGTTTAAGCAAAAATCCATGAGTCACTATATACGTTGTAATCGTCAGTAGGCAATGCTCAATGACTAAATCCTGTAGCTTTAGGTACTTCACAAAAGAGAAAATTCATTATCAGATGTGTTCATGAAACACCTACATTTCAGAAAAAAAAAGATGGAATTTGAAGGAATGACTAACTCCTAGGATTTTACTGCTGGAAGAATCTGCAATGGGCTTTTTGATTCCTTCTTTCTTTCTTTCCCTGGTATAAGGACTCAGGGGAATTTCTCTAATAGGATCTTCCATTTGGGGGTTTAATTGTATGTCAGGGGGTGACAATATAATGTAGAACGGCAGTAGAACAGCAGTACAGAATTTTTAAGTATTTTATTTTGGAAAATTTGAAGCACTAAGCAATTTTGTAAACCTCTATGCACCTATTTATTAAAATCTACCTTTAATAATTATCAACATCATGCCAATCTTATTTTCACTTATCATTTTATTTTTGGCTGAAATATTTTAAAGCAAATCCTAGACATCACAGAAATKCACCTATATTTTTTTTAGAATGTGTTCAGACTGACAACTTTTTTCCCCCTTTTTGTGGTATAATTATCATGCCATTGTCATAACTAATCATTTTAGCAATAATTGGATTTATTAAAGTTTATTTAATAAATTAAAGCATGTGCATTCTGAAAAACAGAATGAGTGCTTGCATTATTTTATAGACAGAATAATTTGAATAAATTATTTATGAAGATACTTTAAAATTGCAAGCTCCACAATAATCAATGGAACTTAGCTTTACTTCTTTAAATCCTCATAGTTTTTTTTTAATGGGAATCTTAGCAAATTATTTATTTAATAGAAGTGGTATTTGTTTTTCAACTTATTTCAAAAGAATTCTAGAAGGTTAAGGAAGAATGGAAGGAGGGAGGGAAGGAAATTTCCTTATCTGAGAGAATAAGACATATTGGAGCATGAATGGGAGGAAAAATAGCTCCTAGAAAGTAATTGCTAAATGCTTAATTACTATAGTTGTGAGACCTACAAACACCATTTTGGCTGATTTGACCATCAGAAGATGAAAGGTATTAGGATATCATATTTAAGGAGATGTTCAGAAATTTTCAATAGACTCTAAGAAACGAGCCTGTGAATAAATCACTAATATATCTACTGATATGAGAAACAAATCTACATATTAATTCTTTTTWAAAAATATTTATTTATTTATTAGTTATTGGCGGACACAACATCTTTGTATGTGGTGCTAGAGGATCGAACCCGAGCCGCACGCATGCCAGGCGAGYGCGMTACCACATCCCCAGCCCCTACATATTACTTCTTTAAAATGCCTCCATTTAATGGAAAGTTGAACAGCATTAACATTAGTAGAAAGATGGTAGTTAGAGTTATTTTTTCTCTAGGCTACCTCATCCTTATTTTAAGAACATTGGTCCAAAAAGATAAAATGCATACATAACATCACATATGTATGCACAAATAACTTATTTAAAATAACCTGTGATATTGATATAAAAGAATTGTCAGACAATATGTATTTGTCCCCTATTTATTTTTAAATTATTTGTAGTAATTTGCATACAACTTTCCATAAATCTCTTTAGCAACTTATTATAAAATTATCATTTCTTCCTAAGAAGAAATGAAGTTCTTCTTAGGAACTTAGGAACTTCCTAAGAAGAAATAGAAGTTATTAAAATATTTGTCTTATTAGCTKGGAAGTTGTTTTTCTTCCATCCCAAGTTGCATGATCAAAAGTTGCATAATATTTTACATCCAGGGAAGTGAAAGCTTGCTCCTCAAACTGCTGCAGACTTTTGTAAAAAGCTCCTGCCTGGTAGCATGGCATATAACACTGTCCTGCAAATACTAATTCTGAGTTCAGTTCTTTGTATGGAGAAGGAGACAAAGACTTGGTTCWTCATCTTATTTTGATGGGCTTATGACCTTAAACAAGTATTTATTAAGTCCAAGA